CTAACGGTAAAAAAATTTTTTGCTCCAACTATTCCACATATAAGCCTTTTCTGGTTGGAAAATATTTCCAACTTACTGTTACGGGAAATACCAGAGAACGGTGATGGAGGGAGATCTCAGAGGATAACATAATAATATTTTTCATTAATAATAATAATAATATTTTTCATTATTAATAATAATAATTTTCAACAATAACTTTTCACGAATAATAATAATTATTATTAATATTATTACTATCATTTAAACGATTTAATTTCGAATTATTAAATTTCCATAAAACTTTAAATGATCAAAACTAATTATAGTAAAAGAAGTGAAAATTTTTTTTAATTAAAATTGATGATTTAATTTTTATGGAAAATTTTTAAAATTTAAAAACATAACTGAAATATGTTATATAATATGGGGGAATGAAAACGAAGAAGAAAGAATACCTGATGTGATACAACAAGTACGTTACTTTGTCGTTCTAATTCCATAATTACTGGTTCCAATCTACCAACTAAATCTTCATAACTCTGCAAAAAAACAAAATCCATGAAAATGCATCTTAAATATGCATCTTAAAGAATTATCGTAGCATATTAATAATGGCTAATTTTTTATATTTCAAAAAATCAATATTGCTATTTTTTAACACATATACTAATCATTTTATCGAATTTAATTGCTTAATTGTATTTAATTTTAATTTGATTGTTTTTAATATATATCATTGAATTTAAATAAGAAAGATACAAGAGAGCAGCAAATATTGTTAATCATTTGTTTTTCTACTTTTGTAATTATAAAAAAATTAACTTACTTCACCTAATGAGGATAATGATGGTAATTTTAATTTAATTGTTTTTAATATATATCATTGAATTTAAATAAGAAAGATATAAGAGAGTAGCAAATATTGTTAATCATTTGTTTTTCCACTTTTGTAATTACTAAAAAAAAAAATTAACTTACTTCACCTGATGGATAACGATAGTGATATTTATCTTTATCACGATCAGCAAATTGTTTTGGATAACGTTCCTCGAAATCAGCATATGTTAAACCTTCACAAATACCCTTTAAAGTAATAATAAAATGAATCATTCTTTAGTGATAATTAATACATTGTGATAACATTTAATGAGATTGTGATAATATCATTAAATGTTAAATAGAAAAGAAGTGATTACAAATAAATTTAATATCATTTCTAACACTATTATAAATATCAAAAAAACAAAATTTTATTTCTATTTTTAAAAATTTAAATTCATCCTTTCATAGAGTATTTCAAAAAGGAAAAGACAAATTAAATAAATGAATTAATTAATTAAACAAACATACAGCATCAATTTCATCGAGCACTTTAAGAAATTCAATATGAACTGCTAAATCACTTAAATGTTGTGCTGTTTGTGCAGCACGAATTTTTTGCGCACTCCAAATTCTCAGATCACCCGGTATTTTCTCAGCCTAAATATATTTTTGACGGGAAAAAAATTTTGGTAAAATTAAATTATTTTTTTTTAGGTAAAATAGAATTGAAATTTCATGTATGCAGCATACATGTTGAAATTTCTCCATTTAATAATTACATCTATCTTATAAATAAATATTTACAGTAATTTACAATCTGTCAATAAGAATACTGTCAATAAGTTAAGGTTTGTTTTAAAATTATTTTCGCATGATATATCAATTTAATTTCTCATTATGGTAGCTCTAATTTATTCTAAGCCTAAATAATTAAATTAGAAATAACGAAAGTTTAAATTAATTGCTCCACTAAATTAAATGATCGAAAAATAAGTGAATAAAAGTAATCAGTGGTAAATTGAATAAATTTTTAAATTTTTTTTTTTTGACGATAAATTTTTCAATTTAATTAAGCCATTTTAGTTAATGAGTAAATTAATGATAATAACATAAATGAATAATTATTTTTATAAACTAAAAAAAATTGCAGCAAGAGTAGATAATTAAACTTCATATAATAATCATTCCATTCATGTAATTGATCATTATATGAATGTTATACAAGAATAATTACGATAATTTGCTATTGTTTAAAAGAAATTTAAAAAACCTTGAAATATTCTCGTAATTTTTTAGCATATTCAGTACCATTAGCGCTTAATGGACTATCACCACCAAGTCTACCCATTCGATTATATTCACTTTCACCATGCTGTAAATAATAAATTACGATAAAAAAATTTAACTCCTCAATTATTTTTCATAACTTTCCGAATTATAACAGAAGAAAAATAAATTGGAATTAAAAAAAAGGAAATTGGAATTTAAAAAAGGAGAAATTGGAATTTAAAAAAGGAGAAATTGGAATTTAAAAATTGGAATTAAAAAAAATAGCTTGAAATAAGGATGAATTAATTTAATTTACCCTTGTAAGATAGATCGAACGAGGTAATAAATGTATATTCATTAGAAAATATACAACACGACTTTGCACATGTCCATTAACATTATGCACAAAAAATGATCGACCAGCATTGATTACTTTGATAAATGATAAAGCATCATCTAATTCATCATCAATCGGTTCATACTGTAATTGATATTAATTTTAAATTAATCTTTTTATTTTATTCAAATTCTTATCAAAAATTTATCAAAATATTTTTTGTGTACGTATATTTGATCTAATTGATTTAGCTGTTTATTATTTATTGTTAAAAGAAATAAAACAAATTGAATTAATTAATCTTTTATTTTATTCAAAATTTTTAAAAAATGTTATTTAATTAATTACTTTATTTAATCATTGAAATATTTTAAAAAATAAATAAATATATATTTATTGAATAAACAAATAAATAAATAGATAAATAAATAAACAAATAAATAAATAAGCAAATAAGTAAATAAATAAACAAGTAAAGTAAATAAGTAAAAAAAATAAGTAAAAAAAATAAGTAAAAAATAAGTAAACTAATAAATAAATAAACAGTTATTCACACTTAAAATCTAATATTACCTGTAATTTATAATTTTCAATTCGTTTCAAAAAATCCTCCTTCGCTTCTTCCTCCGTCATATGACCTTTGTAATCGGGTGAATTAACTTTCACTTCCTATTAACGAAATAAAATTTTAGCATTATTTTCTTTAATAATAAAAATTTTCAATGAAAACAACAAAAGATAGGTAATTCAATAATTAATTTCACATACCTTCTTTTAAACTAAATTCTGCTCATTACAAGACTGGCAATTATCAAAGATATTTGTTTATTCATTCGTTTCGAAACTCATAGAGCTAATAAGTTAATTGCGTCAAATTTTTGCTAACTCCGTCAAAAAAAAAGGGAGATAAGAAATCATGAAATGCTTTCCGTTTTTTAGCCTGTTCCGTATTTCAATTATGGATTTGTAGCTTATTCCTATTGTTTTCCGTATTTGAAATACGAGCAATTGTTTTAATACGTATTTTTGTTTGTTTCAGTGGCGAAAGTGCAACAATAGTAATTAATAATAATAATATTATGATTATAATCAATATTAATGACAGTAACAATTGAATAATAACAAATAGTAATTAATAATAATAAGTAACAATAATAAATAATAATAATGAATAATTATAATTACAAATAATAATGAACAATAAATAATTATAATAAGTAATAATAATTAATAAATAATAGATAATGATAATTAATGATAGATAACAATAATTAATAATTAAATAATAATTAATAATAATCATTGATAATAATAAATAATGGATTTTGAGCACGAAATAGCTAACTGCAAATTGAAATGAAATTTAAAATTTAAACTAAATGTTTACTTCTAATTTCTTTCTTCTATCATTCATTTACATTATCTTTTGCTGCTACCATACTTTAATGCATATTTCTAAGTAATTTTAAATTCGAATATCCATTTCAATTTCCGATAATTCGTTTTATGCTTATCATCTTTGGCTATCTAACAAATTAAAAAAAAAACTAAGAAAAATCAATTAAAAAAAAATTAAAGCTAATGTTGATTTGATAAAGTGTTAAAATAGCTTATACTATTTGATAAAAATGATAATTAAAAATGCAACTTACAGTGATATTAGCATTGATAATATCCGGATCATCACATATACTTTCAACAAAAAATAGCCGAAATGGTGGATCACGATCTTCACGATGGCAAAAATTATTCAGCCAACTACGACGCTCACGTGTTGAATTAGTTGCATCAAAAACCTGAGCAGAAAATTTAATTAAAAATTTTCGGATCAGGAAAATTTTTTATTTTCCGAACAAATTCGGATCAGCGAAGAATTCAAAATTTTTGAATCCGAATTTGTTCCCTCCATATCTTTATTCATTTTTATATGAATAGGAATGATCAAATATTATTGATCGTTTGATAAGATAACAGATTTTAAATTACTATATCATTTCGTTTCTTTCTTATGGATTCGTTAAACTTCTTCTTATCCTTCATCCTACAAAGAAAAAGAAATATCATTAATATCATTTTCTTCATCGATATCACCTTGACCGTTAGTTAATCCTTTGTTTCACCTAATCTCTTCTTATCCATTCCTTTTCTTCCTCATCCATTCTACATGCTATCCTTTAAACTTTGATCACATTTTTAGGTATAAACTATTCAACAATTCAGTATCTGTCTTTTTCACAATTATTTCCATAAATGTAAAAATCTCAAATCGATGAACATATATTTTTCTCTATCACTTTCAATTATTACAATTTAGACCATTAATTCTTTGTTTCACCTAATCCCTTCTTATCCATTCCTTTTCTTCCTCGTCCATTCCAAATGTTGTCCTTTAAACTTTGATCACATTTTTAGGTATAAACTATTCAACAATTCATTATCTGTCTTTTTTACAGTTACTTCCATAAATGTAAAAATTCCAAATCGATGAACATATATTTCCCTCTATCATTTTCAATTATTTCAATTTAATCTGCCAAATACAAAAATTAATTAATAATTGTAATAACTTAATATTTACAAATTAGCGGTGCCTTTTATTGGAACTATTTGCTGATCTCTCATTTCTGCTATTTACCGATCTCTCATTTCTACTATTTACCATTTCTTTTTTATCATAAGCTGATCTCTCATTTCTACTATTTACCATTTCTTTTTTATCATAAGAATCTAACAATAGGAAAAGATACGATTAATAATGAATAATTAAATTTTTATGAAATATAAATTTTAAAAATTTTTCATTAGAATAAAATGGATCTTTCATAGGAAATAAAATATGATAATTTTATTATCATAATAGGATAAAAATGAGAAATATTGTTGTAGTAATTTCTTTTATCTTCAACTGATAATATTTTGCAGAGATTGAAGAAATGAAGTGCTTTTTAGGGAAGTGTTTTAAAACTTCCTATAAAACAAGAAAAAAGATATTTCAAAACTTTCTTCAAAAGTTTTGAAATGTCTTTTTGGTTTTCAACAACTTTCATAAAACTAACAGCAACTTCGCCCTCTTTATTCATCAAATAACGTTCCAAATCATTCATTGCCAATTTTGCACATTCACTAAAATAACAATTTGAGAAATAAAAAATTAAAATTCAAATTTTTAATAAAATTTTTGAAATGAGTTAAATTATTTCACGTTTTCATATTTAGCTCAATTTTGTAACTTACCTGTTTCTTTCTTTTATTTCCTCTGAAACAACGCTACAGATTTATTGAATAATGAATGGAGAAAGAAAACGAAAACATTAATGATAAAAGGTAAAATTTTAAAACTTTTTAAAACAAAAAAAATTAAGATAAAAATATTTTCATCCTACCTCTGTCTATTACGAATTTCCATAATTTGCCATTTAATTTATTATAAATTGATGAGATGATTGAATAAGGCAAAAGAATATTAATTAATAATAACTTAATAATTGATAAATAATTGATAATAATAATTGATAATAATTTAACAATTAATAATAATTTAATAATTAATAATAATTTAACGAATAATAAGAGTTTAATAGTTAATAATAATTTATTAATATAATAATTAATAATAATAATTAATAATAATAATAATAATAATTAGCAATAAATAATTAATAATAACATTAAATAATGGTAATTATTATTAATAACAATAATGATAGTGAATTTAATAACAATAATAAATAATAATGATAATTAATAACAAATAATAATTAATAGTAATTAATAGTAATAATAATAATAATGATAGTGATAATGACAATGAACATAACAATAATAATAATCATAATAATGATAAAATAAATCAGATTGACAGAACATACAAAACTTACTCTCTCATTTTACTGCCTACTTTATTATATGGACTAAAAAATTGCGATTCACAATCCTCTGTACTGCATACTTTACGACGATAATCACCAACATTAAATGCTAAAATGACTTTTAATTAACTTATAAATCTTGTCTCATTACATTTTTCAATATTGTTAATTATCAAAATTTAATTATCGAATTGTCACAGGTTTTTTTGATTTCCAATTTTGCTTAATTTCTTTTGGCATCTATCATTTCGTATTGATAAATATATCATTTCCAATTATCAAAATTTAATTATCGAATTATCATATTTCTTTTGAATTCCAGTTTTTACTCAATTTCTTTTGGCGTCAATCATTTCGTATTGATAAATACATCGTTTCTAATTATCAAAATTTAATTATCGAATTATCATAGGTATTTTTAATTTCCAATTTTTAATCAATTTTTTTTGGCATACTCATTTCGTATTGATAAATATGTCATTTCTAATTATCAAAATTTAATTATCGAATTATCATATTCTTTTAATTTCCAATTTTTACTCAATTTCTTCTGACATATTCATTTCGCATTTTGAATATGTCATTTTCAATTTTTCCTATTGCAACTTTTATTTCTTATATTCAATTAATGTTTGATTGAATAAAAATGTTGAAGAAACCTTAAATAATTAAACAAAAGGAAAAAATGATCGGAAAAATATAATTTCAACAAATTCAATATACTCAAATATTAAATAATTAAAATGACCTTTTGTTTTAATTCCAATCCAATTCAAATATCGACATAATTTATGTGAAATGTATGTTTTACCACGAGCTGGTAAACCAGTTAATGCGATAACATTTGGAACACGTACCTGTTCTTGTGTTGAATCTGTAATGGAAGAAAAATCTGAAAATGAATTAAAGAAAAATAGAAGCGCAAAATTAATTAATACTTTATTAATTACTTTATTAAATTATTTTTTTTTCTATTCCGCCTAACATATATTCTATCTTATCCTATTCTCTTAATACATCTAATTCGATCAAATAATTAATTAATATATTTATATTCTCTATTTATGTACTCATAGTTTTAACACTGTTGATTAACACATAAATTAATTATCATGCAGTAAAAATTTCATGCAAAATATAATAAAGAAAGAAGAAGAAAGAATAAAATAATCATTTATCTAATACAAAAAAAAAGAACATTAAATTAATTACCTCCATATTTAATAAAATTAATCATTAAATATGAAGTAATTATTAAATATAAGATAATTAATAATTTAAATTTTACAAATCAGCGATGTCTTTTTTTTGTAATTAATTATTAAATATGAGATAATTAATTAATTTTAACTTTTGCCTTAAATTCCTACCTGGGCCTTTGAGCAACATTTATGCTTTATCGATATTCCTTTCTATTAATGTATGATAAAGTACTGATAGTATTTTTCCCTTTTTTTTTAACTTTTGCTTAACACCACAAAAATGCGCTAATTATATTTGTGCGCTGTTGGATGATGATGATGATGATGATGATGATGTTTGATCATAATATAGCAGTAATGGTAGCATAAGGTATTGTTAATTGCTCTGCAACAATAATTATTTGATTATAATTTAAAATCAATTAATATGAATTTTTCAACATTTCGCTTAATTTATAATTTCTTCTACAAATATACAAGAATTAATTGATAATTAAAATTAAGATCAATTTTAAAAAAATCGATAATCAAAATAAGTAGCTTGAAATGAGGAAAATTGGAAATGAATTATATTTGAGTGTAGAAGAGAATCACACATTGTCAATTTATAATCTCTTCTACAAATATACAAGAATTAATTGATAATTAATTTATGATCGATTTAAAAAAGGAATTCGATAATCAAAATAAATGGATAGTTTAAAATGAGGAAAATTGGAAATGAATTATATTTCAGTATAAAAGACAATGGCGCATTGTTTTTTAAATGTTGATATAATTTACATAAAAAATTTTTATAATATCAAAATCTATAAATATCTATATATATATATATTATAACAATATGTAAATTTTTACAAATTATCGTTTAATAATAAAAATTATTAAAGTAATTTGTGATATAAATTATTTTAAATTAAATAGTAAATAACTTGTATTATAAGGTTGAATCCTATTTTTCATAACTAATCAATTAAATCAATTCTGATGATTAAATTAATTCCATGATATCATAGTACTATCATTTGTTAATAGTATGTAAAAATAGCTAAGGTCAAAATTGTTAAAATTGCTAAAGCTATATCATTTATCAAATTTTTTTTAATAGAATAAAACTTTTTTTTAGACTTAGCTTATATATATTATTATTATTATTATTAAAATAGAGCATTTGAAATAAATAGCTACGAAGTATTCAAAGGAATTGAATAAATTAGTAAGAATAAGAGCATAAAAATTTGAAATAGTAGGTAAAAAATATTCGAAAGAATTGAATAAATTATTAGGAATAAGAATAGAATATGAAAATTTGAAATGGATAGGTATGAAATACTCGAAGGAATTGAATAAATTATTAGGAATAAGAATAGAATATGAAAATTTGAAATGGATAAGTGTAAAATATTCGAAGGAATGGAATAAATTATTAGGAATATGAATAGGATATGAAAATTTGAAATGGACAAATGTAAAATCTTCGAAAGAATCGAATTAATTTATAAGAATAAGAAGATTGAAAAATAAAAGTTTCTCTTTTGCTTAGACAGAAGAGCAAAATATTTTGAAACGATAAGAAGTAAAGCAATAGTTTAAAGTGAAATGATCAATTTTATGAAAGAGTAGGAAGGAAAAGAAAGAAGAAAAGAATCTTAAAAGTGAATGGAAAACAATGATCAGACGAACATGGAAGAAATAAATGTAATAATGATGAGATGAAATATATTTGAAATAGTTGAAATTTGAGAGAAATAGAAATAAGAGAAGAAAAATAGTTTCAAAAAAGAAGAAAAAGGAAGATTGAAACGAAAAAAAATACTACATTAATAATTGCTATTATTATTATCATTAATAATTTGTTGTTAATCGTTCATTTATTGTTTATCTTATTAATTGTTCATTTATTATCTGCCATTTATATTTATTATTTATCATCTATTATGAATTAATTATTAATTATTTTATTGTTTATTATTTATCATTATTATTATTTTTATTACCAATTATTGTCAATCTCTATTAACAACTATTAATATCAATTATTCATTGGTATTAATTACTTATTATTACTGTTACTACTACTATTATTATTATCGTTACGTTTACTATTTACTAATACTATTGTTATTAATAAACATATACATAGGCCAGTCAATCAATCATTGAATGCTAAATGCTACAACAAAATGAACATTATTAGATTTATTGCTATGGACAGATCTATAGGCCCGAGTATAGAAGATGTCGAATATTTGACAAAAAGAATATAGTCGGTTAGCCGGAATTTCATTCAATAGATTTGACAAAATGCTTATTAATTTATTACTATTCAAAGGGAGTTTTTACCTAAAAATGATACAGCTGCAAGAGATTGAATATATCTTACAGAGAATTTAGAAAAACTTGAAAAAATTTGGGTGAAGTTTATTTTTCAGTCTAAAATCGAAGAATATCTCATTAATATTTATATCGAATCATTTCACACTTCTTCTTTACAAACCAAAAATTCGCACTTTTTTAATGAGCAAAAAAATTTAATTAAGTTTTTAGCAACCGCCAAAAAAAATATTTCAATGAAGAGATTATAAAAGCAAACTCTAATATATGATGACAGCCAAAAAAGGCTTTTTAATTAACAAAAAAAAATTAACCCTTAATTAAAGCCTATATGGCGCATTATTTTTGTATAAAATATTCTTATTAATGTGGCAACAAAAAAAAATAATATCAAGCATAATATGATGACCTACTATGACCTCTTGCAAATCAATTATCTCCCAAGGAATTTCCAGTAAGATGGTGATAGCATGCAATTAAAAATACTTCGATTAGATCGAACAGCTTTGAAATTGGCAAAAAGTAATCAAATGAAATAAATGTCAGATTATTTTTAATTTTTAGGGTACGAATGATTTGCAGGATGGATAAGAATGGTTTGAAGGATGGATAATAATGGCTTGCAGGATGGATAAGAATGGCTTACAGGATGGATAAGAATGGCTTGCAGGATGGATAAGAATAGCCTACAGGATGGGATGGGAATGACTTGCAAAAATTATTATTTTTAGAATGTTTGGCAATCGAATGAATGCTCTGCAATACTTCCACACTAATATATTATATACAGCTAAAACTTCGTACTCTAAAGTTCAAAAAGCATATTGGCTTGGAAGAGCTTAGAATGCAATTCGAGACAAACAAAAAGTGAATCATTGATTTAACTTTGCAGCTAGAAGTTACTCCCATCTCTTTTATTGTCAGTTAGCAAGTTTAGAAATAGAAATAAGCTCCAAATTAGACTACTGTAGTCCAGAAAAAAATGAGTATCCCCGATGAAATCAATTAATAAAAAGATACTTTGGAGTAAAGACACTTTATAAGTGTGGCTTTAAGGTAGAAGTAAATAAACTATCATATTACATCATGAATTTTGATACGTCTAATTTCGATCTTGCTAAGGTTTTAGAGCAATTAAAAGAGATACGTATTTATAATTGTTGCTTGCTAAGGTTTTAGAGCAATTAGTAAAGGTGCGCCTATCTATAATCGTTGCTTGCATCCAAACAGATTGCAAACTTCGGAAGCCCAATAATAAAAGCAAATTATCGATCACATTCTGATATCCCAAAACACTTCTGAGAATCACACCCTTTATCCTTTATCTTATCGTGCAATCATTTGACATGAAAGCGACTTCGATCATGAAGTGCTAAGACGCTGCAATAAGCAAAAGGGATTAATAAATGGGTTAATGCAACTCATACCTAAAATTGCTGAAAATTATGTCAAAATATTTAAAAGAAATAAGAAAAGAAAAAATGATTATGATTGTAAAAATGCTTTAACTAATATCAAACATCGGGCCATGTTATGTTGACAGATTAACGGAGCTTTGGGATAGCAATTATATAATAATGGCTATTGCTTCCTATAATGCTAGGAAAATGTTATGGCCTGAATTTGGCATCAAAACGAGATTTCAGAAATTTAAAAAGAAAGACTAAATAGAGTGATTGACTGCTTAGAACTTAAATTCTAGCTTAAATTAGATTCTAACTTAAATTCATAAAATAACTGACTAGTTTAGAGCTTAAGTTCTAACTTAAGTTAGAACATAAAATTCTAACTCATGTTTATATGGAGAAATAAGACTTTATTTTAAAAAAAAAAAAGAATCTTGATTTGAGGCCTAAAATTTCAACCGGATTGAAATAATAAATGATAAAACAACAAATCAATAACCGGAAATAATGGTTCTATAAATAGTCGGGAATAATGATCTTATAGAAACTACTTTCCTGAATATAATTAATTACAATAAAGTTATAGCTAAAAAAAAGATTTTACATCAAAATAGAAGTTTTACAATTGTTTATCGCAATTGTTGTAAAATAATGAAAGAATAGAAGAAGCTGGAAAGATGGAAAGTAATATTGCAATATTATTTTATTCATGCAAGCTTTGTAATTAGTATTAGAGAAATGCTTTTGACTTCAGTCACTTTTGTTTATTTCAAGATTATGATAAATACAAGATAAGAATATTTATGATAGAATTAATTTTATATTTTTAAAGCGCATTTTATTGTTATCTGAGATATCTGGGATATCTCGGATATCTCGGATATTAGTGATATCCTTGAAGAAGCACTTATTCAGTTACACCTAATCTTGTGTAACTTACACCTGCAGTCTTACATCTAATCTTTGCTTTTTTTAATACCGCAACTTTTTTGATTTTAATAGAGGTAGAATGAATAGCCATTAACTACTATTAGTGATTGTGGTTGTATATATAGGTGCAGTAGACATTCTCTTCCCTATTAACTGTGATATGTAATGATTGATCGCAACATCTGTTCTGCTTTTAGCGATCATGATTTTGTGGTATTGTATTTTTTTGAAATAGGCGATGCGTTCATCCTCTAAATTAATTGTTCCCAGCTGTAGAAAGACACAATCGCGGCTACTTTATGTATTATTATTGTTATTACTATTATTATTATCTATTAATATTATTATTACTATTACATTGTTATTATTACTATTACGATTATTATTATTAATATTACGATTACTATTTTTGTTATTATTATGATTACTATTATTATTATTGTTACTCTTATTATCATTATTACGATTATTATTATTACTACTATGATTTCTATTATTACTATTATTACTTACTTAT